GAAGCTAAAAATAAACTAGTTAGCTAGAGAACTAATATACTTTATAGGGAAGACTATAACCTACTAGTGACTAAAGAGTATAGAGACTCTTTATATATTGAAGAGCCTGTATCTCGACGAGCGTCTGGGCAGCTACATCTGATGTAGTAGAAGGGACCTATTAAATAATCGCTATGATAGTAGAGAGTATATTCGCCTCCATCCTATTAAAAACTTATAGTCCTGCTGAGCTGCTGTAGTTAGGCTGGTGGTGCTGTTAGCATGTGGAGCTAAATATGCTAGCATGACGCGATTCCCGAAAACCATAACCTACTAGACTAGGCCCTTTATACCCTTAGGAATCTAATATAAACTAGGTTAGTAGGAGCTAGAGTAGGTAAGGGGAAGGGGAGGAAAATACCACTATATAAGGAATCTTACCCTGCGTATAAAGGCGACAGGTAGTCTTCTTACTAGCTAAATAGACTAGCAAGGGGTCCCACTAGAGACTAAGGGTATAGTATAAGCAGGGCTTATATCTAAGGCTATAAGGCTAACTAATAGTAGGATTAAATTTGATCCTAAAAGCCCCCTAAGAGATATTATCTACACGCTGATATAGCGATTAGCCATAGCAGTAGAGGTATAAATAGGGGGATTAAATTAAGATATTTCAGAGAAAGGCTAGAAGGTAAGGAGAAGAAGGAAAATTTAATAAATTTATTAAAATTTCGAAAAAAATAGCTTAATAAAATAAAGATATAAAGGAAGAAGGAAGGGAGAAAAAGTAAATAAGCGATAGGAAGAAGAAGGAGTTATATACAGCGATAGTCCACAGAATATAAGGAAATAGAAGGCGTGAATAGAAAGGCTATATAAAGGAAGGTGTACCTAATATTCCGGCGATGAAAGACGACCATCGCTAGCAGAATGAACTAAGTACTGTAGAAGGAATAGAAATAGGACTATAATATTTAGAAATTCTAAGTAGGACTTAGGAGAGTTATAGCTAGGAAGGGGAGGAATAATAGAAATGAAATCGATAGCTAAAAATAACCCTCATGATAGCTAAAAACAACCCTTAGGAAGAACTACTACCTACCTAGAGAGAGAATAGAGTCTAGGTATAGAAGAGTAAGGAAATAGGGACTATTTCCCTAAGAGAGGGGATAATATAAGAACCCTTATAGATAAGTACACTATAGGAGGCAGGTAAGCTACCCTAAAGCTATAGCATAGCTACTAGAGATCAACCAGGGCCTATAGGGCCTATAGGTAGAAGGATAGTCTCGCTTACTAAGCTAGGAGTGATAGGAGAGTATTAGGATAACTACTAGCAACGTGAAGGAAGATCTACTAGTATAGAAAAATCCTTAGACTAGAGATAGACTAGAGAGGGCTTAGAAGAGTGAGGGTCTAAGAAAAGACCTACTAGGGCTAAAGGGATAAGAGCCCTAGGGAATAGGGAATAATATAAAAGGAATAGAAGGAGAGCTAGGAATAAAGGGGAGGCTCTCTAAGTTAAAGTAAAAGTAACTAAATATACCTACTATCACTATGCCCTCTACTTATAGTCTCTATATACTACCTTTACCCTATAATATTCCCACCCTAGGATAGCTTTTAGCTAATGCTACTCTATACCTATTATATTATAATACTATATTAATTAGGACTAGAATAATTAGGTAAAGTACCTATTACTAGTATAATATATATATAATATAAATAAATATAAAAGTATAGGAATATTACTATTTTATATAAACTATAGAATAGAACTAGAACTAGGGTTTAAATTATAAAGATAATATTTAATAGCTAAATAAGTAATTATAATAACTAAATAAATAAAAAACTATACTAATAACTTATAATAGAACTTAAATTTATATAAGAAAAGATAATAAACTATACTAATTAAAAGAGGATTAAAAGACTAACCTTTTAGGAGGGGAGTAAGGTCTACTTACTCTAGAAGAAAGTAGGAAAAAGGGACCCCTAAATCACTACTAAAAACTAAATAATAAACTTAATTATAAAAAACTAGGACTATTTATTATTAAATAAAAAGTCTTAGAAGTTAACTATAAACTTAAGTTACTAACTACTATAGGATTTAAATACCCTATCTTTTATATATTACTATTAGAACTAGTATATAATAATATACCTATAGAAGAGTTAATTATAGTTAAACTAGTAGAAGATAAGTAGGAAGTAGAAAAGATCTTTAACTCTAGCTATAATAATAATAGAAAAATTAAATACCTAGTAAAGTAGAAAAATTTTAAATATAGTGAAAATATATAGGAACCTATTAAATACCTTAAAGGGAGCTAGAACCTTCTAGCCTAGTTCTACTAGAAATACTTATAAAGACCTTAAGATCCTTAGATATATTAAAATCAAAACCTATTATATCCTAGTTAATAACCCTAGAGGTATTAAGGGACTATATATCCCTAATAGCCTATTAAATTACTAGGGTTATAGCCTCTACCCTATTACTCTTATAGAGACCTTAGAGACTATATTTAAATAGTACTATATTCTTCTCTTTAGAGAAGCTTATTAATAGTAGAGATAGTTAACTTAGGTTAGGGCTTCTATAAGGTCCCCTCTACTTTAGAAAGATTATCCTCTACCTTATAAGTAGTAGTAAGGGAATAAGTAACTATAAAAATAATATTAGTAGGGGAGGTATAAGTATATAGGGCTAAGGATATTAATATATAAGAAGAGGCTATTAAGCTACTATTATAACCCTTCTTAAGGTAAATATACTCCTAATAATAGGAGGAGCCTAAGGAGAACTAATATATAGTCTTCCCTTAGTAGTAATATAAATATAGTATATTTTTATAAACTAAGCCTTTAGAAATAATCTATTAAACTAAAGCTTTAACTTTATAGGCTTTATAAGTATTAGTTAAGGAATAGGAATAATATTTAGAAATATAGCTTATTATAATATTAGTATAGAAGAAGAAGGAGAAAAAAGGGAAGCTAGAACTAATTAATAAAGTAAAAATAAATAGGTAAAACCTAGGGTATAAAAAGTCTTTAGGGATAAAGACTAAAGGAGGGAGGTATTATATTATAAGTAGCCTAAGAAGTAGGCTAGAAAGTAGTCTAGACTAGTAGAAAATAATAATATTTAGAGGAATATAATAACTAGTCTAGGGGCCTATAAGGACTAACTAGAATAAGATATTAGTCCTAATAGGGAGTGATAATAGGGTAGTATTAGTTTACCTTAGAATAATAGGAGTAGAGTATTAGTCCTCCTTAGACTGATATTAGGGACTATTAGTCCCTAAATATATAAAAGTCTATATAAGGAAGTAAGTAGACCCTAGAGGAAAGGAGGTTCTATATCCTTTCTAGTAGTTAATTTAAGTATACTTAACCCCTATACTTAAATATATATTATAGATAATGTTATTATTATACTGTTTGATTGCCTTACTGAGCTACTAATAGGCCCTAACTGTTCTAACCCTAATATAACCTAACCTTAAGTAATATGTCCTAGTGTTGGAATATCATAATTATATAGTTAAAAATTTTAATAGTTCCTTTTTTATAATAGTTATATATACTACCTAAAATATATAAGGGTTGATCTAGTAGAAGGGTTAATAAGATAAGGGAAGGTTATTTAGTTATAACTAGTAGGCCTTATACCTTTATACCTAGTTAGGTGACTTATTCTTTTATATTATCAAAGTAAGTAACTATACTACCCTTAGATTAATAAGGATAATAACTTTAAAGGTATTTATAATAAAGATTAAGTTAGGAGTTTATTAAGTTAATTAATTAATTTATTAATAAATTATATAAAGATAGAAATAGAGACCTTAAAATAATAATATATAATTTAATTAGATAATAACTAAAAAAGAAGGGAAGATTAAGGAGGGGAGTAGGATAATAAGGAAAAGGAGGACCTAGTACTTATAAAACCTAGCTAAGCTAGTAAGACTAATTAGTATTAATATATTATTAATCTAATATTAAAGATTAATAAATAAACTTATAGGTAGTATAATTATATCTTCTATAAGACTAAGTTAAGGGCTTAGGGCTTATAGTTAAGGGGGTAAAGGTATATTTAATATAGGTAAAGGAGTCTATAGTAAAATTATTAAGAATAGGGAGTAAACCCTATATAGGGAATAAATACTAGATCTCCTCCTATATAGTAATATTTATCTTCTACCCTTAATAATTCTATAGGGTAGTATCTAGAGGGTTCTAGCTCTATTTAGTAAGGAAGAGATAGAGTAGCTAGGGAATTAGACTAAGAAAAATAATCTAGATCCCTTAGATCTCTACTTTATCTAGATAAGCTATAGTTACCTTAAAATTAATATATTCTTTATAAAATATAAAGATATATTAGAAGGTAGGGCTATTAAAGTACTCTTGGGGCTGTGTTTCCCTTTTCACCGTCCAAATGTACGAGAACTTGGGCGTGCATTGGGCTGGAAGCCTCTTTGCATTCCTATCGCTTCCCATGCTTCCAATCCCTTGGCTTCTATTTATATACGGCCAAAGGCTACGACAAAGGAGCAAATTCGTCAAGACTTAGGTGCTGCTTTCCCGCGCCCGCATGGTGAAGTGGTTTAATTATGACTCTGATTCAGTCTCTGGCCGAGTTTCGGGCTCTAAAAGGATCCATGACCTCTAGCTATACATATATCTCTATGGGACAGTGCCATCTGCGCGCATAAACGGGTGTGGCATACATGTGCTTTGTAGATGAATGCATGTACGCTACACCCGTTGATCGGTTTAAACCACCTTTGGGCGCGTTCTAAGCGCGAGACAACGCGTATGTACATGGTCGTGATTGAAGATGATTTTACTACATGATGAAATAAATCTAAACGCTATACAAAAGACGGATATACCTGACACAATGCTGGGGACAAAGAATGTCAAAGAAGACAGGATTAAAAACGACCCCTCTACTTATGCTTCCTTTTCTTACCCTTTCTCCTATCAGCCAATTACAACGCCCTGACAAAAGGCCAGAGATACTTGAATCCGCAGTATGCCAGGCCTCCCGTGGTCGAGATGATGGCGCTCAGCACCAAGATTCCACCAGTGACGATTCCCTGGTGGAAGAAACCAATGCCGTTTTGCCTCTCGGGGCGCTTCATGTCCGGCAGAGGAGCGCTGGCCTCGGCCTCGAGCTTGTGCAGCTGCGGGGAGACGGCGCCGGCAAGGATGCTCTCGATGCGAGAGATGAGGGCGGGCTTGGTGATGTACCGGGGCTTGGGGACGGTGAAGAGAGATGTGGGGTAGCGAGTGCCCTCGGCGTGGTCGAGAGGCTTGCCAACGGGGGCGACGGGGCCGACTGGATAGCACGTAGTGCGTTAGCAAGGAAACTCAATATGTGAGGTCTACACAGAATAAGATGGACCAAACTTACAGAGGAGGTTGGTGGGCACGTGGTTTACGAAGCAGAGGTCCGCATCAACGAAGTCGCAAATGTACTTGGCAGCAGCAGGTGTAGTGAAGATGTACGCGGCAGAGAGACGCCCGAGCCTGCAGAAAAACGTAGTTAGTTATCTCGTTGCGGCAAAACGTGTTCCCACAAATTGACAAGCGGGGGACCAGAGAGAGGAACGAGAGGGAGAACTAGGTTCAAGAACTTACTTTCGAGCCGTATCGATGGCGTCATCCATACTGCTAACTGCAAGAACCCCAAGGCACTTCTCTTGTAGCTTGCGCTGCGTCAAGAACGACTTCCTGTTCTCGATTTCCAAGATGATGCCGTCGTGACCGGCGGAAACGACATTAGAGAAGCCCTCCTTGACGATCTCGTCGAGCAAGCCCATGGCCTCGAGCTTGCGGCCGCCCGCGACCGGCTGTTGGGGCCCGTCGGAGATGAACTGGATGGAGTGCTGCCGCGCGGCCATGAGGAAGTCCTTCTTCACCCACTCGTTGACGAGCACGATGTCGGGCGCGTAAGGCGACTTGCCGCGCAGGCCGAAGCGCATGGCCACGAGGGCCTTGGCGGCGGCCTGGATGTCGGCGTCGCGCTCGACCACGGCGGCTACGAGGGCGCCGGGGCGGGAGACGATCTCGTTGGTGAGGGCGGGCGCGTCGGCGGGGAGCCGTTCTGGAGGACGCGGATGTGGCGGTGGGCAATGTCGGCGGCGTTGACCTTGGTCCGGGAGATGTGGATGACGTCGGCGTCGAGAGCGTTCTCGACGAGCTTGAGGACGTAGGTTGGGGTTTCGAGCATGGATTGCTCGACCTGTTTTCAATATTAGCGCGGGCTCTCTCTCGCACATTTTCTTTTCGTTTCTACTTTGTTTTCCCGCGCACACACCCCCAAACCCTACACTTACCTGAAGAATGACACAGTTGCCGGCTGCCAGCGCAGGAACCAACGCCGTAATGAGGGAGTAGAAGAAGGTGTGGGAAGTGGGCTCGATGACCACGACGCCCACGGGCTCGCGCGCATCCGGGGAATCCTTGCCATGCGCGAGCGCGTATTCCTCCTCAAGGGCCTTTTCCGTGTCGAGCGCGGTGTAGGCGTCGGCGATGGCACGCATGGCGAGCCAGCACTCGACCTTGACCTCGGTGCTCTGGTTGCCCGTGTCCTTGGCGATGACTCTCTGGATCTCGGGCAGGCTCTTCGTGAGGGCATCATGTAGGGCCTTGAGCTGGCATTTTCGGTAGATGGGGTTGTGCAGGCGGCCGTCGATGGCGGCGGACCTGATCTTGCTGAAGGGCTTCGGCATGCTGGGCAGCGGCTGAGGCGGACAGTGAAGGTCCTGCGTATCTACTGCTGCTGGGACTAAAATGACAAGATGAAAATATGAAATCCAAGTACTAGAAGCAAGACCGTAACGTTGACGACGTATAGTTGTGGGGAGAAAAGGAGAGCTTCCACCACGTGGAGCTTAAGGCGACGAAGGGAGCTTGGAGATGAGGTGGATGATAACACAGGTGAGGTGAACGACGAAGCTTCTAAGCGAGCGCCGCAAATGGAGTAAATGGAGGTATATTGGGGGACAATTCAGGGACCTGGTCGTTTTTTTCCTTTTCTTTTTTCTTTTCGTTGTTTCGGGTGCGTCGCCTTCACGCCGAACTTGAAATGCTTTCGACAGCTTCGACTCTCTCAGCCCACAGCCGGATTGGGGTAAAGAGGCGAAAGGAGAAAAGGGTGTGGCCCGCCCCAAGCGAACGCAAGCGGGTACTTTGTGGGGGAAGGCCCAAAGTGGAATGAAGCGTGCCTCCCCTCCACCCACTTCCCGAGCGGGTTCACACCCACGCGACACCGGAATCGTCAGTGCCGCCCACATCCCGAGCCGTTCGGACCCAAAGGGCCCCCTTGCGCAGTTGGAATCATTCCCTCCCGGGATCTGTGGCGTGACGACAGCCCTGGACCGTGGGGTGGAAGAGAGCTTGCTTGTGAGAGCTGACCCCCTTTTGAGCCAGCTGGTGGCCCTTGAATCCCCTGGCGCACCCCGTTATCGATGAAATGATAATCTTCGCGTGGCGATAGAATCCAACCCCACCTGGAAGAAATCATTCACCGACGAAAGCGATTGAAGGCTTGGAGATTTCATTTCAACCAAGCCCACCTAGACGTTGACTCGACACGTATCCCCGTATCCCCGCTGGAATTCTGTGAGGAGCGCTTTTGGTCCGGCCTTTTCTCTTGAAATTCTTTTCTTCTCCCTTTCACGTAGAAGCTCTTCGTCCCCTAGCCTCAAAGGCCGACAGCGAATCTTTTCGCGCATTACAACCTCATTCTTGTCACGCCGCGCACGCCGAACCAGTCGCCTTTTCCCCTCCGCCATGTCTTCCGCCACCGAAACCGTCACCCGCACGCGGACAGCGAGGACGGTCCTCACCGATTACGAGCTTCACCACTCCGGCGCGAGCGAGACGCCGCATCCTCCTCCTCTTCCACCCAAGGCTCGTCCTCGTCGGCGCCGCAGAACCCGCCCAACTGGCCGACCACGTCCCGGCGGGTGCCCCTATAGGCCCACCAACGTGGACCGCGACCAGAGCGAGGTGCGCGTCTACACGCATCCCGCGGAGAGGGCGTTCATCGTCACCATGTTCACCGGAGTTCTTATCACTGCGGTAAGTAGGAACCAGCGGCGGGCAAGAGGGCACGCGACGGCGATAGGCAAAGAGCGGCGCTAACGACTGACCTTTTTGTATATGCAGACGGCGGCTAAGCAGTGGAGGAGGACGGTGGGCAAGATCGCCCCGGAGTCTTTCAAATACCGCATCGGAGGAGAGTTTTAAAGGGCGGGCGGTATGTTGGAGCTACAGAAGAAATCGAGGCGAGTGGGGAGAAGGCATTGGATAGACGGAGCAGCGCAATGGTGGAGGTGAGCAAGGAATCGGAAAGTGAGAGTGGCCCAGCCTCTCGTCTGAGCTTTTGTGTGTTGTATAAAACGAATGTTTCATAGTCTTTTCCCGCGTTTTTGTCGTCTCTTTCATGTCTTTCGTCGGGCGGGCGTTTACAAGTCTGTGCATCGTAAATGAAATAAAGTACATGTCTCTTTTTATCGCTTCACTAGCCGGGTTACTTTATTGTATTTTACTTTATTTATGCCTTATTTCGATATATCTTTTACAGGATAGCTTCTCGACATCCCTCCCTAGATACCCTGGAATAGGTTCCACGCATTTTATTTTCTCTTGGGTCTTTCCCATTGCGCAAAGGACTCAAGTGGACGACCTGACGCCCTCCATATCGCCCAAGTTCTCCTTGACCTCCTTACCCTTGTGCACGACGGGCTGGGTAGGTTGGAGCACGTACAGCATGCGAGCCCACTCGGTGTCGCTCCTGTTCCTCCACGCGTGCATCGTCGCCCTCTGGATGCAAATGTCTCCCCTGCTCATGTGCTGCTCCTCGCCCGAGTCCAGGACAAGGTCGATCTCGCCCTCGAGCACGATGCCGTAGTCCAGGCTGGTAGTAACGTGCATGGGGCACAGCGAGCCGGGCGGCATGTCGACGTAGCGGAGCACGGTGCCGTTGGACACGACGAGCCCCGGCGGGCTCTGGAGGAAGTCGCTGTAGACCTTGAGGTCGGCCCCGTCGTTGAGCTGCGTGGGGAACCCCTCGGTGACGTAGCACTGCGCAAAGTTGACCTCGCCGCCCGGCAGGGTGTAGAAGGGGCTTCGGCCGGGATGGAGCGGTCCAAGATGGCCTTGCCGTCCTCGCCAATGGTGGTGATGAACCGCTTCGGGTGGGAGAGCTTGCCCTGACACGCCATATTGGTTGTTTTTTATTTGGAGATGTGTTGTTCGTGCTGTGGTTGGTGGTTTTGTTCGGTTGCTCGTCCTTTCGGGAATGAGGGGCGGAGTGAGGGGAGGGCGAGAAGCCAGCAACAAAAAACTTAGATTTGGCGTGTTCACGTATATGTGTGTGGTACCTTTCCTGTAAGGTTCACTTTCAACGGTTTTTCCTTTGTTCCTGATTTTCTCTTCTCCAAAGTTCCGGACAAGCGTCGGGGAGTAGGGGAATGATAAGAATGGGCTCGTCGAATCGTGCGCTCTTTTGTCAGGAAGCCTCGGCGACATCGAGGCGTGCGTCCCATCTTTTCCCAGCACGACCAAAGCCGATTACTCCATTCGTGACCCCCTCATTGACTCTGTCCTCCGGTGCTTCCAGCTAGCTCTAGCGAGCACTTGCCTGTCTCTCCGCAAAAAAGAAAGAAACCCGCCTCGGCGCAGCTCCAAGCATCTGCCGGCTTGCGCTGGGCTTGTGGAGCCGATCCGACAGGTCCCTTCCAGCGCTCGCTGTTTTCCCCGCAGGCACCAATCCGCCATTCCCCGCATAGGTGTCTGCGCGCAACCACAGCACATCTGAGCTCGGAGTGGCTCACGCTAACGAGCAAGCGGCGAATTGCGGTGGAGTTGGGGTCGTTTGGCTAGCGTCCTCCAGCGATGGGCCTCCCCGGTGGAGGGGCGGAGATTCAAATTCGCGACCCCTCACAAACGACCCGCTGGCTTCGGAGACCCCCAAATCCTGCATACGATGCGATGCAGCGCAACGGCAACGCGCATTCCGAGGCCTACGACCTCTGTGCCCATAGAAACCTTGTCCCGGAGAAGAATTGCCGTGATCTCTCCAAGGAGCATCGCGTAGTGACAAAGAGCGCCCTGGAAGATAAACCACAGTAAAACAATAGTCGCCAAACTTGACAGAGAAAAACACAATAAACCAGTGTTAGTCCAAGTCACCTCCGATCGCCAATACGCCGAGCGCCCTCCGTCCCCCTCCCCCATCTCCTTTTCTGACAGACTCGCTCACACACACACTTCACAATGACTACGCCAGACTATAGCAGCCACTTCTCGCGCAGGAACATCCCGTTCGGAATCGCCTCCTCCGCGGCACACAAGGTCCCGCAGGCCGTGACCAGGGTGGAAAATGCCGTCGTCTTCCTCCACGACCTAGCCAGCGCGGGCCTCTTTGCGACGGTGGCGGATCTACCCGAGGGCGTCTTCGCCGATACGTCCCTGAATCAATTCGCCGCGCAGCCGAGATCGACCGTCCACGCCGTGCGCCAGATTCTCGGCGACGCAGATCTGGGCAGCTTTCCTGCCGGGAGCGTCGAGGATGTGGGCCAGGTGACGATGCATCTCCCCGTGCAGGTGGGCGATTTCATAGGTGAGTGGTTAGCTGAAACCGAGGCGGAAAACACGGAAATGAGAAAGACAAGAACAAATGGCGGGGGAACCGCGATCGTACTCTAACCGTGTTTTGTTTCTGTAGACTTTTCCTGCTCGCTTGAACACGTAAAGAACGCCGGCCGCATCATCATCAACGACGAGAGGCCCCGCCCGCATTCTACCACTTGCCTGTCGGGTACCAAGGTAGAGCGAGCTCAGTGGTAGTTTCGGGCACTGATATCGAGCGGCCCATCGGCCAGTACCGCGACAAGAGCAAGGATGGTGCGATTGTGGACGGAGCCTCTAAGGCCGTGGACTACGAAATGGAATTTGCTGCCATTGTGGGTAAGCCCTTGGCGATGAACCAGAGGGTCCTTGCGACCGATGCGGATGAGCACATTTTCGGTTTCGTCATCCTCAATGACTGGAGCGGTAGGTTCTTGCCAAGTCTGCAGCCCAAGTGACTTCTTTCAGCTGCTTTCTGCGCCTTCATATTTCTTTGCTTTTCCTGACCAAACCTCCGTTTTCGCTGCTCAACCACTAACAGTGTCAACCCATCGCAGCCCGTGATATCCAAGGCTTCGAAATGATGCCCCTCGGCCCCCTCAACGGCAAGAATTTCGGCACCAGCATATCCCCTGGGTCGTCACCCTCGACGCCCTCGAGCCCTTCAAGGTGCCCGGCCCCGACAGGGTGCAACCCGTCGTCAAGTACCTCGCCGACCCGGAGAACGCCACCTATGCCGTGGCCATGCAGGTCGAGATCCTGTCCGACGCGTCCACCACGGTGATTGGCCGGTCCAACGTCAAGGCCATGTACTGGACCGCGAGGCAGATGGCGGCCCACACCGCCAGCGCGGGAGCTGCGCTGCGGCCCGGCGACATCCTGGCCACGGGCACGGTCAGCGGAGAGGGCAAGGGAGCCCACGGGTGCTTGCTCGAGGCGACGGAGGGTGGAAAGGTGCCTGTTTCTCTAGACGATGGTAGCACGAGAGCGTTTTTGCAAGACGGGGATGTGGTGAGGATGACGGCGATTGCCGGAGATCCGGCCTCTGGTGTAGGGTTTGGAGAGTGCGTCGGCAAGCTGCTTCCAGCCCGACCTATCTAGCGGAGGCTGTGGGATGCGACAAGACCAAAAGTATAGCTCAATGCATGCAGTAAATAATAACATATGACGGGGTTTCTTAAACGCTGTACATTCTTTTTATTCTCTTTATTCAAGACTGTGCTACTATAATCCGCAAGTAACCACTTTCTACATGAACCTGAAAAGTGTGTTAACAGAGTGACCACAAATTCCCCATGTGGTTCATGCTCATAGAATTAGCGAGCCTCGGAAAGAAAGGTAGGATACATGTAGCATAATATAACCTTTACGTATATAGATACCTAAACGACTAGAAAATATATAAAAGGGATAAATACATAGATATATATATATACTACTAGCTATTATCATCAGAAATAGATGGCAATGGTGGATACACCTACTCAATCCGTACCGCTTGACTGACATCCTCCACACCATGGCCCTCCTCAATCTTGGCCTCAATCACCTCGTAGATGGGCACTTCCGCAAGACCTTCCGCCACGTGATGCAGCGTGGGCAGCGCCTCCCAGTCGCCCGGGTTGGCCTCAATGGTACCCGTCTTTGAGCGCACCGTCCTGTCGGCGACACGGGCCGTCGTCGCGGTCGCACTTGGGATAAGGACGGCATATTCTGCGTCGGCGACGCCCTTTGACCCACGGCAGGGACGTACCTGTACACTAGCTGACCTTCCTCGACGGGCTTGGGGAGGCCCGGCGGGCGGACCGTTTGGCGGACCAGCAGCAGCAGCAGCGGGGGCAGGAGCAGCGGGGACCGGGGCCTCGCCATTGGTCTCTACCTTGGCGGATTCGGCCAGGCCCGTGAGTTTCATCGTCATAAACGTGGCGCCCCGCCAAGCGCAGCTGACGCGGCTCGACGACTCGTCGCTGGCGACGTTGATCTCGCAGTACAGCTTGGGCATGCCAATCTCCTCGCGCCCGGTCGTGATGGGATCGGAGAGGTTCTCGAGGAGCACGGGGAGGAAAGACCCGACGACCTTGGTGCCGTCCTTCTTCTCGTACTGCACGCCGTGGATCCACAGGCCAAAGTAGTTGTAGCCGCCGCCGCCGAGCCAGCCCATCTTGTCGAGCTGGGTGCACTGGAAGGTGGCTTCGGCCACGGTGCCGGGCGAGGCGAAGCTGAAGGCCTTGGTGGGGAAGAGCGTCTGCAGGTACGTGGCCGAGGTCTTGAAGCGCAGGGAGTGGGTGGTGTAGCGCGACCGGTCCGAGGGGATCCGGCGGCCGTAGTGGTCCTGTCGAGGGCTGGTCATGGGCCCGAAGGAGAGGGGGTGGCGCAGGTAGGTCTTGCCGTTTTTGGCCCAGAGGTGCTCTTTGAGGGCGCGGGTGGAGTTGTGCCACTCGCTGAAACCGTAGTTGTACTTTGTGAACTCCATGACTATGTAAAACGAACGGAGAGATGTGGTTAGTTGTGGGGACTTTTGTGGACGTGGATACGACCGGTTAGCGGGGCGAAGGGTTATGGGTCCTTACTGTTGAAGCTCTTGCGAGTGGCGTCGTTCAGGTCAGCGCCCGCGATGCGGGTAAACTCTTGGATCTTGTGCGCCCTCTCGTCGCGAATCTTTTCGTACAGGGCAAGGCGCTCCGGGATGTCTTCGGGCGTAGTGCCGAGAGGTAGGAGCGCTACGAGGGAGGTGGCGTCCTCAATAGCGACGCCGCCTATATATGTTCACCTTTAGGTCAGCAGGGGCTCTTATGGTAGCGATCTTGGGGAAGAGGTTTGAAAAAGAAGAACACGTATGAGCACACTTACCGCCTTGTCCCTGGTGGGGGAGAAAAGGATGAGCCGCGTCACCGAGCAAGGCCAGACGGCCCTTGGTCCACGAGGGGATGCGCTCCATATCCAAAAGGGTCCAGAGCTTGAGCTCGTCGGCGTCTGTCATCTTCAACAGACTTTCAACATCGGTGCCAAAGTCCTTGTAGATGTCGAGAAGGTTATCCTTGTTACCCACGCGGCTCCAGCCTACAAATGGTCCGTTAGCGTCACAGCCCCGACAAAGAACGTGGGCAGTCTTCCAGTAAGAAGAAGCTTGAGGATCCGATAGACACGTACCGTCTCCTTGGACGCTGATAGGTCGGTAGGGTGGATGGCGACAAAATTCATAATGGTGTTATCGTTGCAGGGGTACATGACGAGTCGGCGGTCATCGCCGTACCACATGGACATGTAGCCTTGGGTCTCGGTGAATTTCTTGGTATTGGGGTTGGAAAGAAGCGTCTCGTGGGGAATGAGGAACCGGAACGCGGACTTGCCAGAGCCAAAGGGCTTATGGCTCTCTCCGACAATAGCCTTTCTTGTCGCCGACTAACGGATTGAGAGTGGTTAGCTGGGAGAAATCGGTGAAAAGAGCTATGCACTGTAGGGCGAAAAGAGATACTATGACTTACGCTTACGCCATCGGCTCCGAGAACGACATCTCCGGTCACCTTGGTACCATCCGCGAGGGTGATGGTGGCCGTTTCGACATCGACGTCAACAACCTGGCTGGAAGTCTTGAGGACGGCAGGAGTGCCCTTGCCCTCCTTTCCGGTGGCGGCCTGCTTCAGGGCGTTGTGGAGGCCAACGCGGTGGCTAAGAACCCAGGGCTTTTGCGGCTAGGGTTAGTTCACGGCGTCGGCAAGGCGAGAGGCGGGCGGGGAGGTTTTGCTCACGAATTCCCAGATGGAAAGGGCTTGTCTTAGATCCAAATTGAGGCGGGTTGAGCCGTCACGGTTATACTCGGCCATCTACACAAACGGGGTTCGTGTTAGGCACTAATCTTAAGAATAGTAAGAGGGGAGAGGGTTAAGTCACGCACTCCGTGGACGGGGTTGGCGCCAAAGGACTCGGGGAAGATTCCGAATCTTCGAAGCAAGCCATGGCAATTGGGTGCCAGGTGAAGAGCGGCGCCGGTTTCTTGAGCAAGTTCGGTTCTTTCGAAGAGCTAAAGATCAAGTAGTTGATGTGGTTAGCAGATATATTCTTATATCGTCGCCCTCAGCCCGCCCCGGCGTGAGCTTACCGTGACTTCGTGCCCTTGTTGTCGCAGACCGATGGCTGCAGTGAGGCCGCCGATACCTATATGGATCACCCTTGTCAACTTTTGTGCAAACGGGGCATTACGGCGACTCGCGCTCTCGCAGTCTTGAACTCACCTGCTCCCACCACGAGCACTTTGAGGGGCTGTGCCGATGTTGAAGACATGGTTGTATGCAGGATCTTCCCGACAAGAGGGAAATCAAGGCAGCTGAAGATGTGCAACCCGGGCGATGACGATCACTTTGTGTGTGCTGCTTCGAGAGCAAGGGTGTATTTGGGATCACGACCTAGGGGTAGATGGAGGAAGGATTAAAAAAGGAAACAACTGGCAAGAAAATGAAGCAAAACGCGGGTGTCTAATCGTGGCGGGGTATTGAAGGCGATAGCTCACACCATGAGGCAATCAAGGCATCGGCAGGGGATTACACGAGAAATTATTCAAAGAAACAATAATTGGCAGCTTCGAGAGCTACCCCACCTTTTCCCTTTGTTTGATGCACCCTCCCCGAAGGAACCGAGGGGAGAATTCCAGGGTTCGGGTTCTACACATGCTAGGCAAGTAGGGTCATCATGTCGGCGCATACATGCGTCTTAGCTCAAGAGCTACTTTAGATGCCAAGTGGGCGTGTGTTGGTTGAGGCCGTGCTTGTTCTCCTCCGCAACTTGAGTGACGGCAAGTTAGCAGTGTACAGGCTCATTCCAGGTCCTATGTGCTGCCGGTACCCGCATGAGCGTGTTTGCCAGCACCAATCTCCCATTTTTCCAAAGGAGGTCCAAGTATCTTTTCCTGTCGTGGCTTGTCATGGTCGATTCGGCTCCACATGGCTAGAACGTCGACGGGCCTGGAATTATCGACAGTTGAGTTAGCTCCAAACGCGCCGTCAGCGTTTCCTGTGCTTAATCCACCCCCATTGGAACATCCCCCTGGCCCCTTCGTGCCGGTGGGGGAACCGGCATGCTTCTCCGCACCCAGACCAAAAACAAAAAGAAAAGTGGATGGTGTGGAGAGGAGGGGCAAGAAAAATAGTCGCGAGGATGTGCTATAGGATATACGCAATTCGTCTCCGAGCTGCCGTGCCGAAGGAAGGGGTAGTTGAAGAACAAGGCACCCTCGGAATCGCAAGATGATAGCTTCTATTGCCGGTCCGGAATCTACTTGACTTGCATTGTTTTTCCCTTTCTTATCTTTTTTCTCATCATTCGAAACATCATCGTTCGATTTTCCTGCGTTTAATCTTATAGACAAAGCAGGGGAGATCGGGAGACTCAACTGTGCGTGACCCGATATTCTTTTTGTCCCCATCCCCATTCCTTGACGCCGCGTTACATACTCCTCTCCGTTGTCTCAATCTCTCCTCCTCGCACATGCGCCGTTGCCTGACGGGGATTCTCCGATTAAGACTAAGACCAAAATCACAGGTAGCAAGAATTACAGCCCAGAGGAGAATCGTCACCACCCCCGCCGCGACCATGCCGAACGAAATCAAGGACCTCCACACTGTGGACGAGTCCTCGTTCCCTTACATCTACGAGCAAAACGTTGCAGTACCTCTCAAGGTAGCCAACGGCCTCATCCGCTGCAATGTCTACCGTCCCAAGGGCACCGAGCCCGTTCCCGTATTAGTGACGTACGGGCCTTATGGAAAGGACATCCATTACAAGGAGTAAGTCTTGATCCCACCCCAAAATTGCACAACCATCAGACATCCGCTAACTTGTGTCCGCCTTTTCTCCGCGACCTAGCTTCCATGGCAAATCCTACTCCGAAGTCAACCCCCGCCACAAGTCCGACCACTCCGCGTGGGAGACGCCCGACCCGGGCTTCTGGACTTCTCACGGATACGCCGTCGTGCGCGCCGACGAGAGGGGGCTAGGCCAGTCCCCCGGCGTTCTAGACACCATGTCTCGCGGCACCAGCGAGGCCTTCTTCGACGTGGTCGAGTGGGCAGCCGAGCAGCCCTGGTCCACGGGCAAGGTCGGCCTCCTGGGCATCAGCTACTACGCCGGCAGCCAGTGGCGCGTGGCCGCCCGTAAGCCCAAGGGCCTCGCGGCCGTGGTGCCGTGGGAGGGCATGTCGGACTACTACCGCGACCGGTGCCGCCACGGCGGCATCCTATCCAACGCCTTCATCAAGTTTTGGTGGAACCGCCAAGTCATCACGAACCAGTACGGCCGACCGGGCCGCAGCGCCAGCAACTGGGGGCCCGACACCATCGAAGGCGACCTCCCCGAGGAAGAGCTCGCCGCGAACCGCAACGACCAGACGCTCGACAACGCGGCCAACAAGTTCCGCGACGACGCCTACTACGCCTCCAAGGAGTACGACATGGGCGACATCGAGGTGCCCCTCCTCTCCGTCGGCAACTGGGGCGGCATCCTGCTGCACCTGCGCGGCAACGTCGAGGGTTATACCCACGCCGGCTCCCAGCTCAAGTACCTCCGCATGATCACCGGCCGCCACGACCTACCCTTCTACTACGACGAGGAGGTCGAGGTCCAGCGGAGCTTCCTCGACGCCTTCCTCAAGGGCGAGGACCGCGTCGGCTGGGCTACACCCGGAAAAGTGCCGCCCGTCGATATCGTGCTGCGCAAGGGGAACGTGGGCTTCAACGATGCCGAGGCGGAGAAGGCGTACCCCCGCCGCACCGAGAACGAGTGGCCCATTGCTCGTACGCGCTACACCAAGTTCTTCCTTACTCCCGAGCAGGGCCTCACCACCGACGAGGCCGCGGCGCGGGAACTAGGAAACTCAGCTACCGCGCGCTCGGCACCATGGAAAACCCCGAGCTTCTCCAGTTCACCACGGCACCTTTTGCGGAAGAGACCGAGATCACTGGCCACATCACGGCACGTCTCAACGTCTCCGTGACGCCTGACCCTTCGGGCCCCACCCCTAGCGATATCGACCTGTTCCTGACCCTGCGCTATATCGGGCCCGATGGCAAGGAGGTGTTTTATACCGGCACCGCGGGCGACCCTGTACCCCTCACCAAGGGATGGCTCAGGGTAAGTCTGCGCAAGGTCAACGAGGAGCACCCCAAGCACCGGGAGTGGCTGCCCCACAGGGACTACACCAGCAGGGATGTGCAGCCCGTAATTCAGGGCGAGATCTACTCGGTCGACGTCGAGGTGTGGCCCACCAACGTCGTGGTAGAGAAGGGTGGCAAGATCATCTTTGAGGTGGCCTCGGGCGACACTCAGGGCTCCGGCATCTTCCTGCACAACGACGTCAACGATCGGTAAGTCTTGATTTTATTTTCCTACAATCACGTTGAAGCATCTTTCGTTCGTCGCGGCATTCTAACTTGGGTAAAAATTAGATCGCCCGAAAAGTTGCAAGGCACCAACCACATCCACTTTAGCGACCGTTTCCAAAACTACGTCACGCTACCAGTGATTCCTCCCAAGGACGGAGAGACAGAGATGGTGGGGTATTAATTGGTGCGAGATACAATAGCTTGATAGTTTCGTCTGCTCTCATCGATTATATTGCATTTAATGGACCCTAAAGAGTAAAATAGCCCTGAGCTTTTAATTGCCGCTTCAAGTCTAAATCAACATTTTCATCCCGTAAATACGTTGTGCTGTGCCCCATATACTTTGACCGACCTGTTCTAAGTGACATTATAAAGAGTCTTCACGAAAAGGAATGACAGATTGCGGATCAGATCGTAAAAATATTGAAAAACATGCTAGATAAATCAAAGCTGCTCTCGTACATGCTATATAGTGCAAACCCGTTGAGTAAACAAACACCCAAGCCTTTGTAGCAATCTATTCTCCATCACAACCCCCTCCTCACAGATCCCCCTTCCTAGCCTTTAGCTCAGCCTGCCGTCGCCAAAGTTCGCGGCCACGCGCCAAAGCTAAACTGGCTATTACACATATTCGTCAACTCCCACGTCTCAGCCCTCAGCTCGCCGTGAACGCCCTCATCCTCCTCATCACCAGCGAGGCCAGCCACGAACATGGCGGCCATGAAATGGTCGTCGGTAGCGTGGGCATCCCGATACATGGGGTGCTTCATGAGGCGCGTCATGGCACGGCGGAGGGCGGGCCCACTGTTGTTGCGCACGACGTCTTCGACGGCCTGGCGGAACTCGAGGGCCCAGAAATCGGGGGCCGCTCCTGCGCAAAGTTGTCCGAGTAGCGGAGCATAGGGATCCAATGGTTGCGGTAGAGGTTGTGGACGGCGCCGCCGGAGCCGATGAGGAGGTAGCCTTCCTTGCGGAGGGTCGCAGGGCCGCGCCGACCTTCATGTGGTAGTGGGGGTCGAAGCGGTTGTTCATGGAGATGAGGGTGGTGGGGGCATCCGTTGGGGAACATGCGGATGAGGACGAGGAATGTGTCGTGGATCCAGTCAAAGGTCGGGTTGCCGGCGGCGTCGAAGCCGGCGTCGCGGAGCATGGAGATGCACCTCTCGGCCGTCTTAAGGTCTGGGTTGAGCTTGTAGTCCACGTACTTGGAGGGGTGCACGTAGGCGACGGGGACTTGGCGGGGTCGGGGTGCGTGGCGACCTCGATGCTGTCTCCCAAGGCATCCCAGTGGGCTCCCTAGGTCGAGGGGAAAAGACAAAGCGTTAGTTCTTCATTTCGTTTTCGTTCCCCATTGCTCCAGAAAGAAGGAAGGCTAGGTGAGGGTGTTTTTGCGCCGTTCTCAAGCTTAACTTACCATCATGATGACGCCCTTGATTTTGTGGGCGAGGGCCTCATCGCCGGCCTTCTTCCAGTAGTCGGCCGACTCGGACTCCTCGCCAAGCATCATGGTCGACCCATGAGAGAAGAAGTATACTGGTGTGCAGCCGTCTGATGACCTGTTAGCATACCGACGTTATCGTTTCACCTTCGTTCATGCTTCTCTAAGCTTTCCTCCATGAGGCCGCGCATTGGGCCTGGCGCAGGGCGAGGACTCTGGGAGGTGGTTAGCACTTACTGCTCATGATTTCGGTAGTGTCTTCCGTCGCGTCGTCGGACATCAATGTCGCGTTCTGTGACATGCTGGACAGCTCTGGAGAGGGTAGTGAAGGATAGCTTATTCTTTATTCCGCACAAAGAAAACAAAAGCTAGCTAAAATCGCATCTCCATTGCGTCGACCACCAACGCCACCGGAATCACCGTCTCAGCTGCGGGCTCCCATTCTGGCCACACCTCCCCCACCATCTTTTCCAACTAGATCCCTCCCCTCCACCATCAGTCCCTGCGTGCGCCGTTGTTACCTCGCAAAAAGGGGGTGGGTCGGGTCGGGTCGGGATGTGGAGGAGACGCTCCCGAGATTTCAATCTGCCGGGGTAATCGGGATGTGGGGAATTCCAATTTATGTCACTGCCGAACCTTGACTCCGTGCCATCCGTCTCCATCACTTCATCTTCATAAAGAAAGCAATTAGAGATCACACGGCGGGGATGTGCCTAAACTACGCTTAGCCTGGGGAATGTCTCTGGCCGTAATTGGGCCATCCAAGAGACTAGACTTTGTGGCGTCTCAGCATAACACAGCATAGCAGAGCAGAGCATAACATAGCGGCGAGGAGACCATCCGTTCCCCATCTTCGAGAAGAGAATCGTTCCATCCATCAATTGGTCATCGTCCCCACAATCCATCCAGAACCCTCGCCGACGCCGAGCTTGGGGGCGGGGAATTTGCATTCCTTGTGTGCTCATTCGCCAACGACAAGCCATAGCTTCCCCAACTTTTCATCCCCATGTCTGCTTGGTGTGGAGTGCAGGCCTCGACATGGCTCCCTGGAGAACTTGGCGGTGGAATGTCTCGGCGAGTCGAGATGAGGCCTTCCCCGCAAAGTAGAGACAAGCTTACGACTAGTTGCTATCTAGAGAGCGCAGAACAGGCTCTAATAAATGAAATGAGCCACGTACTTCCCATCCCACATCCCACATGGAAATGGAGACACACGTAGGAGGGGCAAGTAGCTAGTAGCCAGGGGACCCTAAGCGAGAGACGTTGGGAAAAAAAAAAAAAAGACACGAAAAAGGGCAAGCGCCCCCTTTAGTCTTTTACCCCATCCCCATCCATCTGATTGCTAATGCGCTAAAATCCGCTCGCTCACACGCTCTGTGCTTTGTCGTGCGGGGAGGAAGAATAAAACTCATTGTCGCCCGCCTCCTCCACCGGAGGAGGTTGACCTTGCCATTTCCCCACATCGATATTCCGAGAGGAACGCGTTGCCCTGAACCACCAACCTGCCCGTCCATACCTGGCAATTCCGGCTCCAATCCGGCCGACCGCAGACAGACACTGGGAGCCTCTCTACCACGGCTCACGTGTCTCACCTCCCTCACACGCTACACTCACACACGCAAGCATCCTCTCTCAGTCCACTCTGCCTTCTCCCCTGATTTTCAGAGTGGATCTACCCACCCCAGTCTCGGCATCGGTAGCCTTCTCCGTGCCCTCCCTCCCGCTTCCGAGTGATTCGTCGCGGCTCCGAACCGAATCTCGGATTGGAGATAAGAAAAGGGCTTCTACTACGCTCGATGCATTCATAATGATGGGTGACGAGACCGTCCCTGCCAACACTATTGTTGGAGATACCGGCCTATTCCAGTGCGGCTCTTGCAAGCGCCAGTATAAGAGGCTGGATCACTTAGCTCGCCATGTTCGCTCCCGTAAGGATTGATCTCTTTCTCTCTCTCTTTCTCCTTTTCTTTCCTTTCCCCTTTCTACCTTGCTTTTCTCTCCCATTTAGGCTTTGGGCTTTGGAGCCGACTTGGCTCTAGCCCCAGTTTTACCCTTTTTCATATCCCGTGCATCGCGTGTACCTTGTTCCAATTCCATCATGTCTTATCCCAATGCCTTCTGCGTGGACATTCCAATGCAAAAGAAAGAAAAACATGAGAAAAAAGAAGAATAGTTTACTGAATAAAGTCTTGTTGTCCAATCCAGATACCCAGACTAAGCCATACTCGTGCAAGATATGCAGCAAAGCCTTTGCCAGAACGTAAGTCTTTTTCCGAAGCCCCCTCCTCCCCGGATTCCCGGATTCCCGGATTCCCCACACTATTTTCCTCATCCTCCCCACAACGTGCCGACCTTTGACTGCTTTGGGCCGCCCTATTCTCGGCCCCCAGCGCTAACAAAGAGTCGATACGGTTTAGGGATATCCTGAAGAGACACATCGCCGGGCACGAGGCCCAAGGCGTAACGCCTAGCGTTAAGTCCTCCTACTCAGATGCGAAGGAGAATCCCGGCAGGGTGACGCAAGCATGCCGGGCCTGCTCCTCCAACCACCTTCGGTGCAGCGAAGAGAAGCCGTGTCGCCGGTGCACCTCCAAGGGCATCGACTGCGTATGGACTCAGCCTAGCGACTCCGTCATCACACCTCCCTCGAGCGTATCCCAAGCTAGCGAGGCGACCTTTGACATGGGGAATACGGCTCAGCCAGCTCACTTGGCGGACATGGAACCCCTACAACCTCAACTTATGGAGAGTCGTGACATGGCTCCTGGATCACCCAGCATGTCTGGTATGGATGGTGGTATGAACAGTAAGTCAACACAATTTTTCTCTTTTCGTCCTTCCTCTCCACATCTGGATCCATTCTTCAACTGTAGCCCCCATGAAGGAAAGAAAGGCTTGTCTCGTTCACGTACATGTAGTCTAACAAACCCTGGGCTGCGTTTCTGCCCCGCCCCTCTCCATAGACACCCCTCTCTCCATGACGCCGTCATGGTAGACGCCCTACCGGGTTTCTTCCCAGACTGGAACCTCCTCCCAGGCCAATGGACGCCCCTAGCCGGCCAAGACTTCGGCCTCACACCCAACATCGACCTCGACGACGTCGACCTGCGCTTCCTCGACTCCTACAACCTCAAAGTCCCCTTTGAGTTCGGCACCGCCTCCCACGCCGGGTCCGCCACCGACCCCGCCTTCCCCCTCGAAAACACCACGCCCACCTCCTCCTCCGCCGTCGCTGAGCACACCTACTCATCCTCCTCCTCCTCCTCCTTCCATCCCGCCGCTCTCGGCTCGGAGGCCTTTCGCCGATCCCACTGGCGCTTCCGACCCAACCGCCACGACCACGGCGGCGCCGAGGAGCACAACCTCTCCCTGGACCCGCAAGAGTCCGCAGACCATGCGTCCCCGAGACGCGCATCCGCTTGGAGAAGCGCACGCCGTGCGCCCGCCTCAGCGTCTCCTCCCGCGACAAGATCCTCACCATGGTCGTCGAGAGCTGTCGCCCCCAGAACCTGTCGCGCGCCGTCGCGGGTTTCCCTCGGTGGAGCTGCTGGATACCTTGGTGCAGTACTCGCTGGCTTCCTCTGTCGCTCGCGTCGATAGCTTCCTGCACGCCGCCACCTTTGACCCTAATCGCGCGAGTCCGGCACTGGTAGCGGGCATGGCGGCGGATGGGGCCGTCATGACTGCCGATCCGGCGCTCACCAAGTTGGGGTATGCCATTCAGGAGTGCGTAAGGGTGTCCGTTCCCAAAGACGTAAGTCTCCACCAAGTTTTAGTTTCCCTTTTTCTATTTCTTTTTTTTGCCCCTCCACCGAATATTCTTCTGGTCTAACAATCCACATCCAACAGTGGGAAAGAAACAACAGCTTAATCCGCGACCTCGAGCTCCTTCAAGCCTTCTTCTTCACTCTCGAGATCGGCCTATGGAGCGGCCACGGCCGCAAAGTCGAAATCGCCGAAAGCTTCCTCCAGCCCCTCCTCACCATGACGCGGCGCGGCAACAAGTTTCGGCGGTCGGCTTACCCGCCCATCGTCGTCCGCGCCGACGACGACCACGAGACGCTGACGCGGACGTGGCACGCCTGGGTGAAGCAGGAGTCGTTTAAGCGCGTGGCGCTGCGCATGAAGCAGCACGACTCGGACATGTCGCTCGCCTTGCTCGTGAACCCCATCGTCTCCTACGCCGAGACGCAGCTTCCCCTACCTTCCTCGGAACGCCTGTGGGCTGCCCCGACGGCCGAGAAATGGCGGGCCGAGTATCTCGCCCTTGAGCAGCACGCCCTCGAGAGGCGCCGCGCGAGTGGTGGGGCGGGCCTGGTTGAGACGACACCAGGCTACCTACCTTCAGTCACGGATCTCCTGGACAACCCGGACGGCCTACACGTGTACGGCGCAGACATCGACGTAACATTTGCCAGCTTCTCCTTCCTAGCGAACGTGTGGAACCTCGCGTGGGAGTACACCCAGCTCGAGTCCCTCCAGCGCGCGCCCAAGCACCGGTGGAACACCCTCGTGATGACCTCGCGCCTCGAAGAGCTCGTGCGCCTGCTCAACCACTTCCGCCTCTGCATGGACGCGACCTCGCCCTACGCCTACGAGCTCAACATGCGTCTCGAGGTCGTCTTCCTTCATCTGCACGTGCCCTTTGACGACATCCAGCTCTTTGCCGGCATGGACGGGCCCGAGCACGCCAGGGTCGTGTACCCGGGGCTCGTCGAGTGGGCCCGCGGCGAGCCCGCCCGGCGCGCCGTCTGGCATGCCGGGCAGGTCCTGCGCTGGGCGCGCCTGCTTCCCAGGACGGCTCTGCAGCGGGCCACGGCCATCATGGTCTACCACGCCGCGCTGACGCTGTGGGTGTACGGCCTGCTTTCCTACGGTGGTGTGGCGGGGCCCATGGAGCCACCCTCGGCGCAGGCGGTACGGATCGACCTCGAGGATGGTGTTTCGGTGCAGCGGTTCACGCAGTTTGGGCGGGGATATCCCTGCGTTTATGCACCTCATCTTGGCCAACACCAAGATCAACAACAGCAGCAGCAGCATCTACAACACCACAGCAATCATCAATCGTACATGAACTCCGATGTGGTATACCTCTTTCACCCTGACGGGGTGATAGAGGTGACGATGGCGATCCTGCGCGCTAACCACGAGGGGCTCCCGCAGCCCCGGCTCGTGCATCAGCTGATCGAGCTCATGTCCGAGCTACAAAGAGCATCGCGCAAGGGCATGGAGGTCTAGCTCCAAGATAAAAGGCTTTGGGCGTTACATGCCCTGTAATAAAGAAGACGAAAAGAAACTCCTCATTGGCGGTTGTTTTGGAGTTATTTCACACATGGTTTTTGGAGGGCTTGGGCTTGGTTTCAAATGGACAACGCATCGTGTGTCTGCGATGTATAAAGCATGGATGACGAGCAATGGACACTGTACGACAATGGATAATATGAATGTTAGGAAAGACAGCAGACGGATCAATTGATACCAATAAACTAAATCACATTCACCCAACTCTCCATAGGCACGACGCGGCCAATTTCTATGAAACAGCGGGTTGAAATATGTCCTCCAACCAATCGGAAATGAAGGCCTCTTGTGCCTTTTAGTGCGGAAAGGCGAGAAACTTGAGAGGCCTTTCGTCTGCATGAAGCGCCCGGATCTAGGCCGGGATGGACGGGATTTCCGGGCAGGCGACTCACAGCAACAAGTTGTGCATATCGACCGGACAGTGGCGAGGCGGGCATGCACGATTTTCATATCAGAGTAGCTACACCCGTCGCATTGCAACACACACACACGATCGGTCTCGTCAGGGACAGAGGTAGAAAGGGCAGGATCACAAATCGCATTCGTAAGAATGTGCGATGAGAAGCGACTCTCGATCCTTCGACCCATGTCACTTAATCTTCAAGCACGTTTCTCCGACACTCTATTCGCATTGATAAGGGTCGAAGCAATGGACCAATTGATCAATGGACTGCCAAATTAAATTCGTGCCATTTCCTACTACCGTGGAATCGCCCTCCACTCTCCCCGGACACAACATTTGAAGAGTAAGAGGATGCGGACCTCGAGTTCAATAGCGCAGCATTGGCAATGCGGAGGACCCGAACAAGTATCTTCTGTTCCCCGCACTGATTCCCCAGCGAACCAACCCCGGATTCTAGGCCCCTTCCCTTCCCCTTGTTTTCTTTTTTTTTTTTTAGGGGCCTTTGGTTGGTGACTGCAAGTAAATTTTTCCTCGTGTTCTCCCCACAGTAGGTGCCGTTTCCGCCTCCGAGGCCTTGTGCAGGAGGGGAAGACCCGCGCTTGTCTCGAAACGGGCAAGGTAGTGGAGCCGACAACCGTGGAGAAGATGAGCTGTGAGAGGACTCTCAGACCTGGGGAGCGGGGAACGAATGACGGGGAGGATTTCGTGGATAGCGCAGAGCAAAAAAGAAAGCAATGGCTCTTTTGGGGGTTTGTGTGGGACCTCGAACTCTAGCATCTGCTGGGCAATTGGCCGCGCCCATCGTGCTAGCAAGTCCGCGATGGAGTTGCCTGTGCTTGGCGGAGCAACATGATGGATCATGTTCTGCTGTTGGCCCCACCGCTTCCGCCAGTGTCTCTCGCCTCTCATCCGCTGGCTTGATGAGCGCAGACGATCCAGACGCCGTGGCACCCGGCACCCAACCTCGAGCTCGAATCTGAGTCCTCTTGAGTCCTTAGTCCTGACAAGGCCTTCTTCTTGTCTTCTGAGAGAGAGAGAGGGAGGGGGTCCCGTGCGTGAACGCCAAGGCAGCGCAACCTCCCCACACACTCACATACCCTCCATTACTAGCAGCGAAGAGGCGAGGCAGGTAGAGAAGAGAAAGAGGCTCGAGATGTTGCTCAAGCCAACATCCGTAACCCCACGGGAGTCTGACATGCTGCGCTAGCTTTGCGCCGGAAACTCCCACAAAGAAACTCCCAAAGCAACAGATGAAATGAAGTCTTTGACCTAGCTTGTCTGCTTGGGGAACCCCAATCCCTGTCACCCAGGCTGTCGGTGCGTGAGTCAAGCCAAGCCTGGGGGATTAAGACAGCCCCCATTTTGGACAGCATTAGCAAGCTTTCTTTGGTAGGGAAGCTGCCTCCACATACCCGATGGACCTCGCGATGTGAATTTCCAAACAGTTATATGTCTCGATTAATTCCTCGTCAATCATCATCTAAATTTTATTCCTTCTCCTATCGCCTTTTTATATCTCACCATCTTGCGAGGCTGGGTTGGATCTCCAGTCATCTCATCTCATCGATACCCATCTGCCTGATTATTTCTTTGGATTCTTTCCCTTGACATTTTTTATACTTGTTGTCTAGTGATACCCGGACGGAGACGGAAATCGTCCCCATCCAACCACACCCACAATGTCGTCGGGTTGGAAATACGCCTTTGCGCTGTCCAAAGAGGATGTCAAAAACAGCACTCCTCCAGGCACCGTGGCGCTAGTTTGTACGTTGAAAACGATTTTCTTTTTCTAGCCCGTCGCTTATTCCTGAGTCACTCTCTAACACACCCCCGATCCCACAGCTCACGATCCGGCCGACGTCGAACATGCCCGCGATACCATCGTCAAGTTCCCCGTCCCCTCCTCCGACCCCGCGGACCCTCTCAACTGGGCCCCCTGGCGCAAGACCGCATTGCTTCTCGTCGCCTCCCTCTACGCCTTCGTCGCCAACTACTGCAGTTCTGCCATCGCCCCCGCCTTGCAGATCTGGTACCCCAACTTCCCCACGGAGCCCAAGCCCTACTCCACGTTGACGCATCTAATCGCGGTATGAAATTATCCCCAGACCCTTTTGTCTCTGCTTTACCCTCTAACGCGTGCAACTCGTATAGGTCAATGTTCTCATGCTCGGCGCGAGTAACATATGGTGGGTACCGCTGTCCAACTGGGCCGGCCGCCGCCCCGTGCTCATCGTCGCCACCCTCATCTTGACCCTGTGCACCATGTGGTGCGGTCTCGCGACATCCTTCGACTCTCTCCTCGCCGCCCGCTTCTTCCAGGGTGTCGGTGGCGGTGCCGCTGATACCGTCGCTCCCGTCTTGATTGGCGACGTGTACTTTGTCCATGAGCGAGGCCGTGCCATGGTAAGTCTAGCCCCCCATACACACTTTTCGATTCCTCCACAGGAAACCAGAGAAAATCGTGAAGCCATTCCAAAAAGGTGCCAAGCTAACTCTACCCAGGCCGTCTACACCTTCTTCCTCGCCGCCGGATCCATCGTCGGCGGCATCGCTGGCGGGTACGCCGCCTTCCAGCTCGGCTGGGCCTACAATTTCTGGATCTGCACCGCCCTCGCCGGCGCCGTATGCCTCGGTACCATCTTCGTCGTTCCCGAGACCCTGTACGACCGCCCCGCCCAAGTCGAGCGAGCCTCCACTCCCTCCGACGATTCGGGCAGCAAGAAAGAGGGCGGCGCCGCCAGCCATATCCAAGTGGCCGACGCCTACCGCCCCTTCACCTTTTCCCGCTCCCTGGGCTTCGGCCCCATCCGCGGGAACCTCATCAGCCTCTTCTTCCAACCCTGGCGCACCCTCGCTCTCCCCGGTACCTGGGTAGTCATGCTCCACTACGCCGGTCTCGTGGGTGGTATCGTGACCATCTCCGTCGTCGGCGCCCAGCTCGTCTCCATGCCGCCGTACTTGTGGGGCGCCAGCGCCGGCCTCATCAACATTGGTGGCCTCGTCGGCACCGCCCTCGCCACGGTGTACACCTTCCTCGTCTCCGATGCGCGCCTGAAGAGCCAGGCGAAGCACGACGCGCACGGCTTGGCTGAGCCCGAGGACCGTCTCCCAACCATGTTCCCTCCTCTGGCTATCGCGACCGGTGGATTCTTCGTCTTTGGGTTCTGCGGCCAGTATCCCGGTGGTACCCGGTGGGTGGGCCTCGAGGTCGGTTTCGGCATGGTCGCCTTTGGTCTCATGCAAGCGCCGTCCATTGGCTTCAACTACGTAAGTTTAATTTCCCTTTATCCACTCCCTTATCTCGGAATAACGCTTCTGAATTCCTAACAAATTTCTCTTTGTACAGTTGATCGACTCCTACGGCCATCTTGCCGGAGACTGCTTCCTCATCGTCACCATTCTTCGCTCCATCATTGCCTTTGCCTGGACCTTCTTCGTGTCCGGCTGGGTTACCGACAAGGGCACCGCTGAGCCATTCGGCATCTTTGGCATGCTGATGGGCATCTTCTCCCTCCTGACTATTCCTCTCTGGCTCTATGGAAAGCGTATGAGGATTGCGAGGGCTCATCACCAGTAGTTCTCCCGTATACCTGGTGGTGGTAGCACTAGTAGCAAGTTGTCATTCTTTTCATGAGCGCGTGTCTAATCATACCATTCATGCAAAGTTCAGCATGGAGGACTGGAGACTATTGAGTCAACGCTCGCCCCTAATACAAGATTCCCCATCCACACGAGACTTTTTATGACACGTGCATTCCTTGAACCAGCCAGCCAAGTGAAAATGATCCGTTCCTACCCCGCATGGCGTAGCGAATCCATGTCAAAACGGCACGTCCCTTCCGTAGAGGCAGATGAAGTGAATAGTCGCACCTCGGGTTTTCCGGACATGTGCATTAGCGCTTCGCAGCGGGACCGTCGGCAACGTGAGGTGTGGATATCCAACAGGTTATGGAAGTCACTCGAGGATATCTAGGGCTCTAACCATTAAACGGTTGGCCGAAACGATGCAAGCTACCTCGTACAAGCTACCTCATCCGGAAATGCGACTCGGTACGCATCATCGCCCGCCAAAATGAGAGATACGAAAATGATCATCCTGACGTAAATGGGAGACTGTCACCATCGCCGAATGGCAAAATTGGGATCTTTCCCATCAAGATCAGCCAGGTAACCCACTGTTTTCGCTACATGAGCCGGCTTGGCATCCTTCCGCATACAAAACATTTGAACGCTGTTCTTTTAGCTGCTCCCCATGATAATACTAGTGCGCCGCAGGTTCCTTGCTGCAGAGAGCCGCCCGTTCCGAGTAAATCGGAATCATTCCGGTTCAAGGAAAACCCGACGGGCTCACCCCATCACGGCGGCTCATCCGCCAGGATTATCCGCAAGCGCTGTGCAGCGTTCCCCGGAATCCCCACGAGTCACAATCTGATGAGGACGGCGAGTTCCGAATATGCTTCTCGAGGGGTCTGTAATTCGCATTAGGACAGGCCATACCTCGGCTTGAGATCTAGGCATTCCCGTGGTTCCACCGAGTGACCTTGCCGCTGGTCCCGGCGTGATGGCGGGAGTCTCCAACTACCCATATTTGGAAAGGGTACCCTGTCGTCTTCATCCCAAGGTGAAAGAGCGTGGGACTCGCCTGGCGAGCTGTAGACAGTTCAACTAGCCCGCAGTTTCAAGGAATATTCCAATCTACATTAGCGGAGAGTGTGTCCTTGAAGGTATACTCTCTTTTCTCTTCCTTTGATCTGAAATGAAAAAACGTCAACGTGATAACTCGGCCCCGAAACTCACTTTCATTACAAGCAATGAGTCTTGCCACTTTCTTCTCACGTCCCACTCACATTTTCTCATGACGCCCCCTTTCACAGCTTCAATAGTTAACGAATCTCCAGGTCACGCTTGCATATGCTTCGCGTTCATTACCATACAGGTAAAAGCGCAGGTTCAGTTGAGATAGCAGGAGCTTTACCATCAATTTATTATCGTTAGGCTTTTTCGTTACTTCAGCTCAACTGCTCAAGTGATCATTCTGCCACTTTTCGGTTGACGCCACGAGCCTTGTTCATGCCTTTGGTTAGGCGACGCTTTCGGACTATCATTAAACGATGGTCAGCCTTACATCAATCGTTTGACAGAGAAAAGCGCCGTTTATCCGTGCTCTCTTTAGTTTTATTCGTCTTTCGCTTCTACCACACTGACCTGCTCTCTGCCTTGGCTGGGCTGATTCACTCCATTGATCAATGATTTGATGGCAGTGTCATTCCGTGAAGCCTAATCTAATGATATGCCCCAATCGGGCAAAGAAGGGAAAGGAGAAGAGCCCCGTAGCCTGCTGTGGAATCGATGCAGCTGAGAGAAGCACTGTCCCGGGACAGAGGCTAGTGAACGTCTATATACCCAACCTGAAGAACAGAGTGAGCCCGAAATAGCATCACTCAATCACGTCGGGCCACGCTTTATCAACAGCCCTGCGGCTTAAACAATGAACGACGTTGGATTTGGTTTTGCCAAGACGCGGCAAGGAAGCCAAGCGCGTTTGCTGCTCGACTAAGCTGATTTTGGGACAGGGTAATTGGCGGATTCCTCACCATGATCAACGTCCGCACCCGCAACCATCCTCGCGAATTGAAGCCTATTGGCGGCAACCGTCCTCGCGAATTGACCCGTATTAGCGTATTGGCGGGTGTTCGTCACCCGGCACCCGTCACCCGCACGTCGGTACAGCACCGCCACCACCCAGTCGTGGCATTCTCCAACGACACAAGCAGCGTTTGAAGGTCTATTTTTCTTCCCCTTGTCGCAGTGCCCAATATAGTTCGAGACTGAGTCGGGCAATCACAAATACCTAGACTGGCTTGGCACCAACCTCCGAAACGACCGGATGACGGCTTGGACTGACGATGTCAAAGTAGTAAAGCGAGCGGCCGCCCAGGCATCCTCTCAAAAGAAAGGGGTAGTATGTTTCGTATAGGACGCGTCAGTTTACTCCGTGGAGAGTTCACCTCGTAGTATGAGAGGATGCAGCCACTCTTACGGTGAGCAAGGCGCTCTACCGAGGAGAACGCCACACTCATACAGCCTGCCCGGGGGCAGCCTTATGAGCGGGCGAGGCGCTATTAGGGTATTCAGCGGCCGATCTCTAATAGATCCGAGTTTCTAGTATTTATTTATCCAAGTCCTTCCCCGGAAGATGGAGTAGCTTGGAACTTGAAAGACTCATCTCTCCCTCGCCATCATCTCGCCTCTCGCTCCTGCCATTATCATCATATCACGATATCCAATCCTGAACCTCTCTTTCAATAAACCATGGTGACTTCAACAAAGCCCCCGCGGAACGGCTTCGTTCGCGCGGCCCGTAAGGTCTACAACCCCATCGGCTTCGGCAAAGGCTACAACTTTGTGTTTTGGCTCATATTCGGTGGTGCTCTCCTCGGCTTCTCCCTTTCACGCTTCCCCATGCTCGACTTCTATGGAAAATTCTGCAGTAAGGACGGGGAAGGCAGCCCCTTCCATGCGGGTCCGGGAGAGTGTTGGTACTATCTTAGGGGCAATCACGAAACCATCGGCATCATTATGCACCTCGCTGGCGTCATACCGGGAAGCTTCCTGGCCTTCTTTCAGTTTGTTCCCGTCATTCGGCATAAGCTAATACTCTTCCATCGCGTGAACGGTTATGTGGTTTTATTGCTCTCCGTCGTGGGGACCGTTGGGGCCTTGATGATCGTCCGGCATGCATTCGGCGGAGGGTTGGCTACTCAGGTTTCTCTTGGTCTTCTCGGCATCATGTTTACCGGTGCACTTCTTCTGGCATACATCAACGTCAAACTCTTGCAGATCGAGCAACACCGCGCGTGGATGTTGAGAGCCTGGGCTTATGTGAGTATCGCCTGCGCCAAAGACAAGAGGCCGAAGCAAACTTTGCTTCAGGGGTCCTGATTCTGAGATGCTAACACCTAGTTTGCTTTTTGCTCCTTAGGGCGGATGTATTCTGACCATCCGTATCATCATGACCGTTATGGCCCTCATCATCAGCGACCAGGATGGATATTATGCACCGCAACCCTGTGGCCAAATCGACAGCATGCTGCGTGGCAATCGAACCGAGGTCCTTGCCGTCTTCCCGCAGTGCCAGTCGTTTTATTCGGGAGAGAACCCCGGTCAGTGGGCCATAGCACAGGCCAACCTGAAAACCGACAACGATGCCTTTAGCGCTGCTGCCCTCGGAACCAGCTGCGGCGCGGCAGCATGGCTGGCCCTGGCCATACACGCTATTGGCGTCGAACTCTATGTAAGTCTCCCCGCACTCGATTGTCCCACATGTATCCGGCTTCGTACTCGAGTAGGCTAGCTAATTCGTGCGTCTCGATTGTCCTAGCTCCAACTCACACCGGCCGAGCACGAGAGACTAAGAAGGGTTTCGTATCAGAGGCAGCTAGAGGCGGGTATGAAGGACCCTGGGCGTGGTGGAATCACGGTCGATCGGTTCGGCGATGCGGAGAAGTGGTCACCACCTAGTACTAAGGTGGGCCATGGGGGCATCTCCGGACAAGGCCCTCCAGGGATCGCGCATCGAATCATCCGACTAAGCCGGTGTTAGCAGCAACGGCGAGGTTCGTGGAGGTTGCAATATCGAAAAACATTTGCATTCTTTGTCGCATTTTCTTCTTTTCGTAGTAGAGCCTAGCATAGAGGGTTTTGGAAGGAGGGAGAAGGGCGGAGGGCAAGCATTATATACGATGGATCCACACAAAATATATCTCAGTGGCATGATTTTTTCAAAGGCGGTGGCCCCATTCAAATAATTATACCAAACAATATGATAGCGAAGAAAAATTCAATCTCCGCCCACCCGACATCTCAATCAACGCCGCCCGGAGAACCGGAGGTGCAGGTTCACACTCACGTCAAATTGCGTCGCTGTGCAAAAACATGTGCCGGTTACCCGCGATCTTCTGATTCCATAACCCGCTTATTGGCCCGGTCGGCTACGCGGCTCTGCATCTCATAGAACTCTCAGAGGACCCGCCCCGACATGGCCGACATATCCGACGTGAAAAGGGGAACTTTCGCAAAAGACAGCCCCCATCTATCGACTTTTGAGCTTAATCCATCTTGTACCTCGCAAGTCTCCCGAATCGCTCAGATCGACCAGGAATCGTGTCCTTGTCAGCCCACAAAAACTCTAAACGAAGATCCGGCCAGATGGCACACCCTACGAACTTGCTACGTCTACTCCCATCCCCTTCAGCCCTACCCGGGGGCCACAGAGCCGCAGAGACGTCGCCTAACCTCAGACGGTCCACATCGAAGTGGGACTGTAGCTTAACTGGACGGACCTCATATGTGTATGTTCGCCTTTTACAAGTAGTTGCTGCCGCCCTAGAGGGAGTGCTGAGGGCCTCTTGCAAGGGGACTTTAATAGAACAACGATTATGTGCTTGTTCATGGACACTGCTTCACCCGGAAGCACCGGAACACGTTGAGACCCACTCGGCCCTTTCATTCCCCTACCGCTGCAGTCTCCATCCCTAGTGGACGACAGATCCCTTTCAAGACACGATTTAGGTAGTCTAGCGTTGTCTTAAACGGGTTACATCGACAAGATCTGGCGCCTGTCAATCGGCCGCTAGACAAGTGACGGCATAAGCCGGATTATCCGTGAATCTACAGCTTCAGCGTACTACAAAGTCTATACCTAGATCCTAACCGTAAGATCGGGCGCATAAGAGCTAATGATCTTTTGGACATCGGCTGCTAGATGCGGCACACAGCACGCCCCGTTGCTGAGTGCGTGGCTACATAACAGATGGGCGATTCCAACATGCGGCTACTAACTCGGTTGGTAAAGCTATGGTTGAACTACAGAGTGCGTAGCTAGTTGCAAGCCTCAAACAGGTGCAGCGGGCCCTGATAGCATGGGTGCTGCGCTTAATCGATCACCCGAATAGGGCTAGCGCATTGCAGCCACATCGATATCATAGAATTTCGCTCCTCGATAGCTTTGAAAGAGTACCAGGTCCAAGGCATAGTCAATTTTCGACATAAAGACGAGTCACCATTCTATTTTTGAAGAACGCAAGCTTCAGAAATCTTCTCCACTTGTTCCCCTTACTTGCGTTAATGCCTTCCATTTACTTTCATACAACTCCAAGAGTTCTACCAGTAGATGGTAGCAGCGACCACGCTATGCCCAAACTGTCCTTCTACCAAAGTTAAGGAGAACGACTTAATTAGGCCTGTGTTCGATTATGCCGCCTTACGCTGGACGATAATGCACTCACATATTCTAAAAGACTTATGTGAATCATAGAGAGAGGGAGGTGTCGATATGAGGGAGAGGTGTTCGAGGATACTTCACCCGCTTGCGGAACATCTATCAACCGAAAGTATTTTGGCCTGGCCAGGCCAGTGTATCCTGAACAGCAAGGACACAGCTTGCCGACAAACATCGGGCCATCAATCATTGATCCTACTTTTTCATAAGTTATTCCTCTTTCCAAACGTCAACAACGATGATCCGTACATGGCCATCCGGGAAAATCGTTCATTTATCCGTCCGTGGTGGATGACTGGGGCCTACATGTACGATGTCGGACCATTCCTCTTCTCGTGTATTACCGCACCCACTTTTCACGCTGCACGGAATCGATCAGAGGGGCATGGTGGATACATGTTGGGCTGGTGAATTTCAAATAAAGTAGTCCATGCGACACTGGTGGTTGTAAGTGACCCACGTGCGAAAAGTCCCTACCTGCACCTCTGGGAACCGCATCCAGTCAAGAGACGACAGAATGAAGCTGGTCTGTTCCATCGCGAGCATGGGATCCACGCGTACGTTGCTTCTAGAAAGGGGCAGTGCACGGCTAAATGAGAGTACGCGGGCTTTTGAGACCCTCCCATCACATTTTGTGCATAACGCATCGGAGAGCATTGTTCATCTGTTTGTTTCCTTCGACGTCCTTATTGATCCTGCCGACCTAGGGCAGAATGGATGTCCACTGAAGGGGCACCCAGGCGCGCATTCACAAGTGCTCTCTGTTTCCGCGAGGACGTCGGAAAGACTTGAACTTGCGATACAGTCGAGATTCAAGTCCGATTTCAATCAACCAAAAGGACCGTGTTCATTCCGTCACGCAAGAAGTCACAACATCAATTGGCACCATTTGAGTGTGGAAAAGAAAGAAAGGAAGTTTCATTAGATACCCATAGACTTTGCGTTGACTCTACTCTACTGCAATTGCACACTACCCTGAAGAATCCCCGCACGTCAATCAACAATCGTCCACGCACCCCTTGGTATAATATAAATTGGAGTAATGATAATTGCGAGAATGCGGACAAAAAAGAAACCCTCTCTTTTTCCCGCATTCATATCCGCACCGCCTTTTCTTCTTTCTGGTTGGGTTGGTCGTGTCTCATCCGGATTCAAAGCGCAGTGGGGCAAGTTTTGGAGGTGAACATAGAATTTCAACAGTACGAAAGAGCCATAGGGCGTAAAAGTGACAGTGAAAGGAAAAAGGAAAATATCGCTTAGATGGCGAATCGGAATCTAGGGCTCTTCTCGCCCATGGCCTCGATCTCGTCTTCCGTCTTGCCCTCAATGAGGTAGTCCTGCTTGCCCTCGTCACGGAGCTTGTTCTGGCGCTTGAAGTGGAGGTGGAGAATCAAGTTGAGGGTGAAGGAGACAACGAGCATGCCCATGGAAGCAGCATAGCCGGGCCTGAACTGAGGAGCGTACTTGCTGGCAAAGAGGAAGGGAGAGGCGACACCGGAGGAGTTGCCGATGCAGAGATGCATGCCGGTCGAGAAGGCGCGCTTTCCGTAGCGAGGGTTGTTGGTGGGGACCCAGGCGAAGGAGATACCCGACGAGGTGAAGATGCCGATGGAGACGAAGAAGCAACCAGTGTAGGAGACGGCGGTGCCCTTCTGGGCGATGAGCATACCGTATCCGACAATGGAGGAGACGATGGCGCCCATGACGAAGGGGCCGCGGACCTGAGTCTTGTCGCTGAACTTGGCGGAGAGGATGTAGACGAGGGCGCCGACGGCGTAGACGGGGACGGTCATGGCCTGGACCTCGGCAGCGTTCCACTGGCCAAGACCGTGCACAATGGTGGGAAGGAAGACGACGAAGGAGTACAACATGGTGAGGGTGGGGAAGAGAGCGAAGCAGTAGGCCCAGGTAGTCCAGTCCTTGACGCCGTCCATGACGTCCTCCCTGACCATGTGGCGGAGGTTGTGGGCGCGGCCAATCTGCTTGTCGTGGATCTTGCGGAGAACGACCTTGTCGTCGTCGGTGAGGAAGGGCGCGGTCTCGGGGTCGTTGGGCAGGATGAAGTAGATGGCGATACCGGTGACGATGGTGGGGAGACCGTTGATGAGGATGATCCACCTCCAGGCGTTCCAGCCGGCGTAGCCGTTCATGAAGCTGATGCCGTAGGCGACGAGACCACCGGCGACACCGGCGGCGGCGGCGGTGGCGAAGAAGTAGGCGACGCGGAGAGCGAGGAGCGGCGGCCGTAGAACATGGAGAGGTACAGCACGACGCCGGGGAAGAAACCGGCTTCGAAGAGACCGAGGAGGAGACGGCAGGTGACGAGACCGGCAAAGTTCTGGACAAAGGCGCTGAAGGTGGCGACGAAGCCCCAGGCGAGGGTGAGACCGGCGAGGTAGCGGGCGGGCTGCATCTTCTTGATGATCATGTTGGAGGGGCCTCGAACAGCTGTAGGCATGCGCCGTATGTTAGCAAATCGCGCTTCCCAAACTTGGCTTCCCCGTTGCAGGCTCGAGCCGGCCGAACGCGTGGCCGGTGACAAAAGTTCATTGGGGGAAAAAGCAAAGAAAAGAAAAAGAAACGGAATGGGGCGACATACACAGTAAGTGACGAAGAGAAGGGAGACGGCCATCTGGAACTGATCGCCCTTGAGTCGAGATCAGTCTCCATATGGAATAGACGAGCATTGCCAATGTTGACTAGAGGATTAAAATTAGTTTGTGAGTTTTCAATGAACATTCTTTGTTCATGGTCCTTTTTCGGGCGCGTTTGCTTCTTTCCCTTTTGCATGCCGATCCAACGATGCTCGGCCAGACTGGAGGGGCAATGATTCCACGTACCTCGATCCATCATGTTCATGAGGTAGCACCACATGACAGTGGGGACAATACGCTTGTCAAGCTTCCTAATGACCTCCTTCTCGCGGGCCTTGTCGACGGCGAGGGAGTCGGGCACATTGTTGGCGGACTCGACTTCACCGACGGCGGAGGACGTCTCCCAGCCGGGGGAGTGGACGCCTTCTTTTCGTTCTCGGACGACATTGTGACGTGTACGCAAGACGCGTTCCGGTGCTGTCAGATCCTTTCGCTTTTTCTTCTTGTTTCCAAGGCGTGTGGCGCGTTGTGATGATCGAGGCTCGACGGGAAGCCCTAGCTATCGAACAAGAACAAGAAATAAAACACAAAGCCTACACTGTCTACGTGATCACGGAGACGTAGAGGGAGGTGAGAAAGAAGAAAAAGAAAAGAGCACCGAGGGATTGAACCGACAGGGAAAGACGAGAAGTAAAAGGAAGAGGAAGAAGAAAAAGTCTTGGGACTTCCTGCCGAGTTATATTGAGAATCTCTACAGCATAGAGAGGGGCGGGCCAACAGAATAGCTCCAGAAAAGGGCGGACCAAAAGACAAGACAAGCAGGGGTGGGGTGGGAGGAAGGGACAAGGGAAAAGGGATAAGGGTAGTATAGAACGGACGGGGGAACGGGGCGCGAAAGCGCAGGGTCAATGGACGAGGAACAATGAACAACGGACAGGAAGAGAATAGTACTTGGTTTGCGTGCAGCGACGATCATGGAAAATTGGCGATGTACGTTGAAGAACGAACGGGCGTGGGCGTGGGCAACTCGTTTGTCAGACTCGTTGCGGCTATCCAGGGTGCAAGCAGAAGGGAAGGGATCAACGGATAAAAGCAAGAGGTATAGTCGGAATCGAGCCAAATCGGGCCGCGCCCCGTACCCCCTCCACCCCGGGGACCGTACTTACGGGTGGGGTCGCCTCTCTACCGCACACGCCCCCGTTTCCCCTCCAACTCCCTTCCGTTATTTCTCCACACCCCCTTTCTTCTCTTTTCACCCTTGCCGTTTCCCCAAATCAGGCGCCCGCCCAGTTCTCCCTTTGATGTCTCTACACTACCCTAACTACTACCCCTAGTCTGGTCGGGGAAGTGGATGATGAAGGCAGCTGTCTCTTGCGCCGAATGCGCGGCCAGCCAAGCCAGAGACACCGCCGCTCGCGCGCAAGCGCAATGCGGGCGGACGGCGGTCTTGGAAAAGAAACTAGAGCAAAGGGTGCCATGCATGGCATCGAAAATAGGGAGGTATAAATCTGCTTGTCAGCACGAGCCAAGGAAAGGCAGTCCCTTGCCCCCTCCCAAAGAACAGAAGGGCTTTTGAAAACGCCAAAAACGGGTAAGGGAATGGGTCGGATTGGTCAGAAGAGCTGTTGTGTTGGTTCTACTTCCTCTGGCTTTGCTGGCCCTTCCCCCGGCATATGCATATCTTGCACTCTTATGGTGGCATCGTCAGCGTTGCTCCACGACGTCTCCTCTTCCAATCTCACCCTCAACACAACATATCCACTCCCACTCCACCGCGCACAGGACGGCACAAGATGGGTCCCGTGAAGAAGAGACGGAAACCATGGAGAGCAAAGCAAGGGAGGGGGACAGCGAAAACCGCGTTGGAAATATCCAATCAACCTATCTCCAAGCGAGGAATGCACCGAGGGCCGTGATGGTAATTGGTCCCTCCTCTTTATTTTTCCCTCCCGGGACCTCGGGGAGGGGCCTAAGGAGGGGTGCGATGTTGAGACGAAAGAGTGGAAGAGGAAAAAACGTGTAAGTGGATGGATATTTTGGCTGGGGTCAGCTTTGCGCTTTTCGCGAAATACGCCTTTTCCCACTGGCCGGAAGAGATGGATGGCGCCGCACGTTGTACGCTTCTTTTTTAGCGAAAGGGTTGATTGCATCGGGCTGGCCGCCCCTTGGGGACGCACTCTATTACAATTGAATTCACTCTATGCTACCAGGCTTCGTGATCAATGCTTGTACTCTCTCCCTTTTCCATTGTCCATGTTTCTTTCTTTTGCTTTTCTTTTCACTATCTGGCCCTTTGGATGTAGGTATGATATTGGCCGGATACGAAAGGCCCTTGGAGACGTATTAGTGTGGGCGCCGACGCCATGCTCCCTGCTTCTTCGGAAATAATTCAGGATTTAATGCAGTTCAGAAAGTGGCACATACATTCCGTGTATGTATGTATGTATGTATGTCTATGGAATGTTAATTTTTTCAAACTCCGGTACTATAGGAATGGAATGGACGATATGGCCTGTGCTGGGGGTCGATTATCGCTGGAAGAATGGGAAGACCAAGTGACAAGGTGCGACAAAAAAATAAGATGGAAAGAATGTAAGCCGGCGACGACGAGTACGCACGCTAAATATCAAATGATTTGCCATGGCAATTGGAATGAAACCAACATCACCGCTCGCGTGAAAAGGAAGAAAGGGAAATGGGGGAAAGGGAGGGGGCGTGCACGAACGAAGATGCCAAGCCAAATACGGTGCCAAGCCTTGGAACAGCCAGTCTTCCGTCAGAGATGGATGACAATAACACCGAATCTGTTCGCACTCTCTCTCCTTTGGCTTCCTTTTTTGCCAAGACCGTCCGTACACGAATCATGCACCATCTACCTGCCGCTGCCGCTTCCGTTGATTGCAGGCTGATGTGACCCGTGGAGAGGAGATGAACAGATAGAGAAAGGCACGGTGAGAAGAGAGAGATGGCGAGAGCGAGGGGGACGCGGATGCGGGAGTGAGCTTGGGGAAGAGGGAACAGCATCAAGGTGTTATCCAAGGAACCGAAATTCTCAAGTGATTCCGCCAGCCAGCCAGCCAGCCCGGGCGGTAGACGTGGATCGTGCTGGGAATGGATGTTTCTGTTTCCGGTGCGCTCGCTCGAAGCTCGACGTTGGTGGTTCAATGCGCCTGTGCTGCGACTGTCGGCGTGTGAGCGAAAAATATCCATATGCGTGTGCGTGTCGTGTCCGTCCTGGGGTGTATCCTCCATGTACAAGATTTGATCTATACATACATGTAATGCTAGGGGGTAGGTAAAATGGTCAGCTGCGACCCGACGTTGGTCGGTAGATTGTGCGGAACATTATCATCTCCCATTTTTCCCGCTGGCGGCCGCTGATCTTCAGAGATAAAACAGCGAGCACGCCAGGCCAGCGTCCCTAGAGTGCCACCTTGAGCAGCGTAGAGTGGCGAGCCCGGCGGATTTCAGGGATGGGTTTAGCGCCGGCCACTCTCAATTTACGGCCAGCGCCACCGAACAGCAGATAGATTCTTTTCCCAACCAGAGCGAGTGTTGTTAGCCGAGCGGCGAAATTGAAGTTTGATTTTCTCGAGATAGAGACACGCATCATGCTGTATTTGTCTCTGTTCGCTCTTGGTTTTTGTCATTCATGTTGAGGCTGATTCACGCTTATTATCCTGTCGTCGCATTCCTTTGACAAAAATGCCACTCCGCGCGCTGCCTGCTGTCGTCCTCCGTGCCTCGGGACGCTTGGCTGCACGACGACGACGCGCCATTCCATCCATGGTCACTCTCCCTTGTCTTGTGGTATCTTTTCTTCGCCCTCGCCTTACCCTGTGCTATTCCCATCCATGGGTCAGTTCATGTCGATGTTGCCCTCCACCACTCGGCTGCCATGCTTGTGCTCTTCCCACCCGGCTTCCATTTCCGAGTTCAAGATTGGAGAGCCACAATCTGAGTCCTTTTTTGCTTGTCTTTGTGGTTTGTTTCATTCCAGAGGAGAAGAGCACTTTCTTTTTTTTTTTCTTCTCTCCCTCACTCGCTTGACCGTGTTCCTTTAACCATGTCCCCTGTCCCATCCATATTTACGTGCCGCTTTGTTCCAATGTTCCCTAAATCCCAAAATATCCGCACATTATACTTCTTTTTTTTTTCTCGCCCTACTTGGCCCAGGTTATTGCGCGTCATCAGATTTGCTATGACTGGTGTGTTTGTTTTCCTATCATTGTTATTTTCCCCTTGAGCTTCCCGTTCCTCTGCCCTACGAATGGAGCTCGGGTCGATCAATGGAAAACCAAACGGGTCACGATCAAAGGTCATTCCGACCGTTGGTTGGTAATACCTTGGAGTTGATTTACGGTAGACCAGAGCCGGCCCCCGCCAACCCAATGCCATCGCCCGAAGAGGTGGAGACACCAAGATAAGGTGGATGGGGAACCTGGCGCACTAGCTGGCCACTAAAATATGGGGGAAAGAGGAGAAGAGGGGATTGAATCGAGAAGGAAAGAACAAAAAAACTGACACATTTGCCTCCCCTTTCCCATAACAATCAAGCTCGTGGAGGCGGACTCGACGAAGAGACTCACGAGGATCACGATCGAGGCAAGAAATTTCGTGGCCCTTGGGTCGAACGCGCTTGGCGAGTACGTAGGAGGCGTTGCGCGCCCTGAGAGAACAAAACCCCAGACTTGGCGATGATGAGAGCCAAGGGCGGAGGGTGGGGGCATCAGGAAGGGAAACCGGATCCTCGTTGAGGCGGAGCCAGTGAACCAAGAGAAGAAACAGAAAAGAAGAGTGCCAACAGCAGCAGCCAGGAAATCCAAGATGAAACTGGCGCTCCGTTGATTCGACGCACCAGAGTTCCTCGATAATACGCCCCCCTTTCCCCTCTTCTTGGCATTGGGAATGTATCCTTTTTGCCTCCCCTCCGCCCCATCTGTCGTGTACCGTCCTGAGCAGTGAAGAATGCGCTAGTTACCTTTGAACAGCGGCATGGAAAAAGGTGGAGATTTGGATCACGAGAGGCGCAAGATGGTGGAACGAGGAGAAAAGAGGGCACGCAACAAAAGGGAGGAGGTGAGGTTTGCATCAAACCTCGTGAGATGCTGACAAGGCGCAAGTGCAAGGAAGAGCACCTTAGGCTTAGGGGGAACACCCTGAAGAATTCAGGCACGGCCAGGCCAGGAATGCTTGCGAATGCTGCAAGAGAGGCGTGAACTTTCTTCCCCAATCAATTTAAACAATGTGGTCGGGATAAAAAAGGAGCTTCAACCTCCGATCGGACCCCTGAAGCCCCCGGAGAAAAGGTCACCGAAGGACACCAGAGGCGCTTCAACTGCCTCTGAAGGGATAGAAGCAATTTGGTGCAAAAAAAAGAGAAAGACACGAAAAAGAAAAGAAAATGCAGCTAAAATGATAAACGGCAAAGAAGCAAGGTGGAAGGAGCTCGTAAGCGCATTTCAAGGTCACGGACTGCGGTGCTCCATGTCCAGGGTCGGATTGCCATGTGGCATTTCACCGAGAAGGTCCGTCGCAAGTTTGAACTTGGTTAAGATTGCCTCGTCGCTCTTTCTTCCCCCGACATCTAATGTCCCATCATTGGCCAGCATAAGAATGCGGGCACTGGCCTGAGCCGTGAGAACTTTAAGAGAAAAAGGCCGTCGGTGATTGGCTGACGAGGTACTTGTGGGAGAGACCAGATGTGGAGGGAGGAGGTATTGCCAATGTACCGAATGCCAAAGAGAGGAAAGTGGGTGGAGGTGCATTCCGGCGTTCCTGCCCCAAATGGCGGGGTGGGAACCGCCCGTTGCATCTGGAGGGGGACAAGGACAGACCAGACAGAGGAAGGGACAACGCAAAGTGGTTGTGGAATCCTGTTGGGTGGGTCGTTTGATTCCTCGCCAGACGAGTCGTGATCCACAGGGTACTTGTGCCAACCGCTGTGCCGCCCCCGTTCTGGGTGTATCTTTCTGTCAGCACCCGCGTTGGATCTGACAGGAACAAAACAACCGCCTTTGCAAAATAATCTATTATGTAACACTACCCAAGGGCCAGTGTCTTGGGTAGTTCGCTTAAACCAAAAGTTGAGATTGATGCCCTTTGCTGGCAAAATTGCGGACTTCTGGTTTGGGCGTATCCTTATTCCAGCACCGTTATAGCTCGCAAATGCCAGAATTCCAACCTCACCTGTCACCAAGTTCCAGAAGAAGTAAAAACCCGTGTCATCCCCCATCACCCGCATTTAATCTTCTTCTAGAAGAGCGTCAAAACGCAAAACGCAAAAAATAGAAGGGAACAAAGCCCCGAGCACAGGCAAGTACAGGGTTTGAAGCAAGGCAACAAGAGACCACTCAAAGGCTAATTTAGAAGGGGGAGAGAGGCAAGGTATCTGTGCCGAGCCTTTTTTTCGCCCGGACTTGTTCAAAAACAGCCAGAAAAACCACATGGCTCAGTGGGAAATCCCCTGCGCCGGAGGCCCT